AAAATAAATATAGGGATACAACCTGTTCTGTATGGGGTAATACTCCCCTTGAAGATACAAGTCTGTAGCTTGGTGTGATCTTGGATTCATTACTGACCCTGGAGGCCCAGGTGTTGGCGGTGGTCAGGAGTTCCCTTGCACAGTTAAAACTTGTGTGCCCATACTTTCAGATGCCAGATCAGGCCACGGTAGTCCATGACTTAGTTGCATCCCACATGGATTATTACAACGCACTCAACACAGGGCTGCCTTTGAAGAGTACCTAGAAGCTTCAGCTGGTACAAAGATCTGCAGCCAGGCTACTCACTGGTGCTCCATACAGGGAGAGAACCACTCCCACGCTACGGCAGCTCCATTGGCTCCCAGTTTGCTAACGGCCGAAATTCCAAGTGCTGGTTATGACCTTTAAAGCCTAAACTGTTCAGGTCCAGATTATCTGGCCAATTACTTCTCCCTTTATGAGCTCATGATTGGCAGATGGGGCTCTGCTCTCAGTCCCACCACCCATCTCAAGCATGGCTGCTGGGAACAAGAGAAAGGGCCTTTTCTGTAGTTGCCTCTCGGGATGAGCCTAATCAACATAGTTAAAATATAACACATTAAAATACATAAATGATGGGGATGAGAGAAGGGCCTTCTCAGCAGTGGCCCCCCACCTATGGAACGCCCTCCCTAGAGTTATCAGATTGGCCACCTCCCTCTTGTCTTTTAGAAGGAAAATCAAGACCTGGTTATGGGACCAAGCATTTGATCAGTGAGCAGCAAGTGGAGGAAGATCACACAACTTATGGCAATGAATTGGTTCCAATGAATTGGATTTCGATTTTAATGGATGTGTCTTAATTAATTGTTTTAATTTTTAATATTTTGATTGTACTGTGGTTGTTTTTATGATGCTAGCATCATATGATGCTGTAGGCCACCCTGAGTCCCCCTTCAGGGGTAGAAGGGTGGGGTATAAATATAGGAAATAAATAAATAAACAATAGCATAAAACAGAATAAAACCAACATTATAACAAAATATTAAAGCAAACATCAACCAATAATAATCCGTTTCTGGGCATGGGTGGGCAGACTGGTGCAAATCAATTGTAAGGATAGGGCTGGTGAATAAAGTGCATAAGTCAATTGGATAGAGGGCAATGTGAGATAGAGCACTATAACTTTGGATATAGAAAAATAGTAAAGTGAAAGGGCTGTAGCTGGGACCAAGTTATCCAAGGAATTGTCTAGTCAAAAGCATAGCTTTTGATTAGACAAAGTTGGACAACAAGCTAAACATGAGCCAACAATGTGATGCGGTGGCAAAAAAAAAGCCAATGGGATTTTAGCCTGCATCAATAGGAGTATAGCGCCTAGATCCAGGAAAGTCATGCTACTCCTCTATTCTGCCTTGGTTAGACCACACCTGGAATACTGTGTCCAATTCTGGGCACCACAATTGAAGTAAGATGTTGACAAGCTGGAATGTGTCCAGAGGAGGGCGACTAAAATGATCAAGGGTCTGGAGAACAAGCCCTATGAGGAGCAGCATAAAGAGCTGGGCATGTATAGCCTGAAGAAGAGAAGGCTGAGAGGAGACATGATAATGATGTATAAATATGTGAGAGGAAGTCATAGGGAAGAGGGAGCAAGCTTGTTTTTTGCTGCCCTGGAGACTAGGACGCAATGGAAGAATGGCTTCAAACTACAAGAAAGGAGATTCCATCTGAACATGACAAAGAACTTCCTGACTGTGAGAGCTGTTCAGCAGTGGAACTCTCAGCCCCAGAGTGTGGTGGAGGCTCCTCCTTTGGAGGCTTTTAAACAGAGGCTGGATGGCCATCTGTTGGGGGTGCTTTGAATGAGATCTTCCTGCTCCTTGGCTGGGGGTTGGACTGGATGGCACACGAGGTCTCATCTAACTTTATGATTCTATCCATGTCTTTAAAGCCTTGCAGAAGATGGATAGGGTGGGCGCTAAACTTAATGATAATAACTACCAAACTTGGTCTGTGATGGTCCACAGCCTGTTGGTGAGAGAGGAAACTGTAAGAGCTCTGAGCGGGAATGCAAGTGACAGCTAAGCAGAAGCCGATCAAAAAGCCAGAGCTACGATTTTCTTACTATTGGACCGAGCCAGCTGATTCACGCCCGATTCAAACCCGGGTAAAGGTGAGTGGGAGGCTTTGAAACAAATATACCAAGGACAATAGTGTATCTCCCAGATAATTTGGACTAAAAGATTTTATAATACCAAGCTCCCACAGAAAGGTGATATAAAAGCCCATCTGGATAAGATGAAGGGTTTGTGTATGGAAATGCTTCTATTACCCTCAAAGCTCAAGTAAGGAGTTCAGCCATTTTGCATTTTACCACTCCTAAAGGGGAGAAGTTCATACCTTTGGCAATTAAAGTCTTTAAGGCTAAGATAGCTTCCCAGCTGCTATATGATTCCAGCATCTGGATTGGGGACCTAACATCAAAAATAGATCAACAGCTCCCCAAATGTGTACCTTCCTGTGTCTTATTACTTGAATCTGGGGAAGAACCCTTGTCAATAAGATCTTGGCAGTGGGCACTGAAATACTGACTTGAGATCAGAGTTTTTACTTTAGGATCCAGTTTGATTAATCACTTAGCTCAGGATGAATACATAAGCAGTTGGTTTAAAATCAGTTCTAAGAAAGCCTCCTGCATCAGCCTTTCCACATCCCTCCTAACTCATCTGGGTTTTGGCATAGCTTTCAAATCAATCAAATAGATAGGACATTGCCTTTTCTGAGCTGGGCTCTCACTCTTATGTACCTTGCTCCCCTAGTGCCCTGTCCATGTGTTATGTTGGACCTTTCCATGCAGCAAACTATCTAAAGAACTTGACTGTGCCCAAATACTGCTGCCTATTTTCCACAGCAAGGTTCAATGTGCTCCCAGCTGAATTGCTATGTGGGAGTTTTGCAGGTACCCCATATAATAGAAGACTCTGTCCATATAAAAGATAGGAAGTAGAATGCATCTACCACATTCTACTGCCATGCAGTTTCTATGAACAGGCCCGAGCACACACAATCAACCCCCTACTAAGAAACTTACCAGCAAGTCCAGTGAAATTTTATGTGAAGTTTCTACTTAGTGACAACCTTCCCCATATGACCTTGGTGGTTGCCAATTTTCTTTCTGAGGCAGCCAGGATTAGACAATTCCCAATTTTAGACACAGGCTGACACATGCCGGCACTTCTTCTAGTATTTTACCTATGTTTTTAGCCAACATAGGTTTTTAACTGTTGTAAATTTTATTCATTTGTGTGTTTAATCAACCAGATGTTCTAAATCTCATTACCTGCATACCTTGTACACCTACAGTGCAATAAGGGTTTTTGGACCACAATAAAATGTTGTTGTTGTTGCAAGTCTGAGGGCTATAAATTAATGAGGCTCAAAATTGCTACATCCTCTAGAGCAGCCTGAACCAGGTTTGGACTTTTTACAGTATAGCTTCCAAAATCTAAAAGAGAATTTTGCTTTGAAAAACTGTAGGTAAAGGTAAAGGTAAAGGTAGTCCCCTGACATTAAGTCCAGTCATATCTGACTCTGGGGTGTGGTGCTCATCTCCATTTCTAAGCCGAAGAGCCAGCATTGTCCGTAAACACCTCCAAGGTCATGTGGCCGGCATGACTGCATGGAGCGCCGTTACCTTCCCGCCGGAGCGGTATCTATTGATCTACTCACTTTTGCATGTTTTCGAACTGCTAGGTTGGCAGAAGCTAGGGCTGACAGCGGAAGCTCACACCGCTCCCCGGAATCGAACCTGCGACCTTTCGATCAACAAGTTCAGCAGCTCAGTGCTTTAACCCACTGCGCCACCGGGGGCTGTATGTGCCAGGATTTTGGAAGAAGCAGAAAGGCAATCCTTTGGGGCCATAAAAAATGGCTGGGATTGGCCAGGGCTTGCAAAGATTTCTGTCCAGGAGGGGGCAGAGCATCACCACATGTCAGTTGTGTGTGGAGAGGAGATGGTGTCCTGTAGCTTTGTCAAGAAATGCTTTAATTGTGGTCATTTCAAAAGGGGCTATAAAGAATTGTCCTTCCTACAAAAGCCAGAACCATGGATATAATTGTGGAGGCTTGTACCTTTTTTGAAAGGTACAAGCAGCTACATGGTGGCAATGAAAGAGGACTCCAAGAAGGAATACTGGTTACTGGACAGTGGGGCCACTCACTACATGGTGAACTCTGTGAACTTACTTTCCAATGTGTCCTGTGTGTAGCTTGTGATGGGGCACAAACTGCTGTGAACAAAGTTGGGCCTGCTTTTATTCTATGTCTGGGTAAAAGTCGTAATAATATTTTCTGTGTAGATGATCTTGAAAACAATTTGCTAAGTGTTTCATGCTTAAGTGATGAAGGTTATGAGGTAGTTTTCAAGGGAAACCATTGCACTATAAGATTTGTGCTAAGGGCGTAAAAAGGAGCAAACCTTACCAAATACTACTCAGCAAGGAATATAGAAATGTTGCTGAAACTAATGCTTTAAATGTACCACTGCATGATTTATGTGCCCATTATCTCCACTGAGTGATGGGACATGCTAGCTTTAATGGTTTGACCCAATTAACCAAAGTGTGTCTTGATTTGATGTTATCCCAATGCAACAAATGTTTAGATTGTGCCATCTGTAAAAGGTGAAAGCTTTTCCAATGTTGAAGAAAAGCAAAATAGTTACAAAAAGGCCATTTCATGTGGTTCATGCTGATTTGGCTGGGCCTTTTCCAGAAAATGAAGGAAAGTCAAAGTACATTTTTGTCATTGTAGATAGACAAACGAGATTCAGTTTTGTTTATCTTTTGAAAGCAAAATTCAAAGTGCTTATCCCAAGTTGTCATTTGCTCTTTCACAAAACAAGACTCCACATTCCACTCTCCCTAGCCCAGGTATTTGTTTTTTAAATGATATGTTAACAAAAATGTTAAACTTTTAATGAACAAAAGAAAATACAAAATTAGAGAAAGTAACTGACCATCCACACCACATGAACACTTGCAGAAAAATGAAGAGAGGAGCGGACATCATGGAAGAGGCACGACTCGTTGTGCATATAGGCTGATCCTATTAATAAAACGGGCAAAGTAGCAAGAAGAGGAAAGGAAAGAGAACACAGAAAGAAACACATACAAGATGAGATTTCATGCAATTGGCTGGCATTTAGCAGAGTTAATGTGAAAAAGCATTCACCCAAGAGCAAAGAGTTTTACAGTGAGAATAGCAAAGGAAACTTAACTGAAAGTATTACACAGTGAGAATTATAGAAAACACAACTAGCACAGAAAATAGCACACCCAAGCTAGTGAGCAAGACATCTTGCACTTTCACACACAATAAATCTAGTGGTAATCATCTTCATGATCTAGAATTTTTGGTATTCTGCCAGTTGTCTCCAAAAATTTTATTAATCAAATTTCTTCAAAAAACCCACCAAATTTTGACTGTCCCCATTTGATGATTTAATGTTTCATGTGTGGCACACGTTTTAATTTTTTTTAATGGTGTGTGTGGTTAAACTGCTTACTAAGGGTCCTAATGCTTGGGTTTGGAGGTGTACCAATCACATCAGGATGAAGTTATACTACTGCTAAAAGATTGAAAACAGCCATGGTGAGCTTCTAGAGTCAGCTCCAAATGACAACTCAAACAGATGTCACAGTTAGGAGTGCCTAATCACCAACTATTATTGTTCCCAGCATGGATCCAAAGGGAGAGGCAAGTAAGAAATAAATGCTGTCATTGTTGTTGTTGTTGTTGTTGTTGTTATTTGATGGGTCATAAATGCTTTTGTTGGAAAACAATAAGCTTTTTTAAATAGCCTAGGTCACTTCATGACACTACTTTAATGCAATATATCTGTGTAATCATATTCATGTACCAAGTCTTAAGACAAATCCTCCTCCAGATGTATTTGTATGATTCCTTAGACCATAATGAGTCACAAGTAAGAAAATATGAAACAAGTAAGCTACAAAGCAGTTGTTTGAAGAAAAAATGAAGACTTTAAACTTAACTTTTTAAAGACTGCTTTGTTGTCATGATGTGTAAACCTTTGTCACAGAGTGTCCTGTTTCTCTAGATAGGAACTGTGTGTGAAAGCACAGCAATTACAGCAAAGGCAACTCAGAAAAAAGCAGCTGTTAATTTTATGTTAATTGTAGAAATATGTGAAATAGAGCAATTATGGTCAAAAGTAAACAGTAAGTTTAATGAGAGATAGGTCAAAGTCCACAGGCCTTGGAGGTACAAATTATTCCAAAATATTTTTATATTGCAAAAAAAAGCATAACAAACTTACTTTAGCATCATTATCAAAGCAGACTTCAGGTCCTTTCCTGTATCTGGGTTGTTTCACCATTTCACAGGGGTTAGGTCCTTCATCTGAAGTTTGATTATGGAACAGGAAAAACAGAAATCTCACATTTATGTAACCAGCATAATACTGACTGAGAAGTGGGCATCAAAAAGTCTCTAAATGTGGAAAAGTTCTTATTTTCTCAATGGGGTAACTCAAGCTGTTGGAAGAGCCTTTCTCAGAAAGGGTGACACGATTTACAAGGATTCTTTATATTTCTTATCATATATTGAGTACCATTTGTCTAAATTGCTTGAGATCAGGAGTGGTTTTGATTCTGCATCTTGGAATATCTGTATTTGCATGTGTACATAATGAGATGTCTGGAAGCTGAGATCCAGGTCTAAATATGGTATTCATTTATATGTCATACACATATTATACACAGAGCTTGAAGGTAATTTTATACCCAATATCTCTCTCATATATATATATATATATATATATATATATATATATATATATACACACACACACACACACACACACACATACACACACACACACACACACACACACACACACACACACGGTTTAATACATTTGTTATACATTGTTTGTTTTACAGCAAATACATATTATTCAATACAACCTACCATACTTTTGTGCTTATACATATTATCCATCCCTCACCGCTGTGCTCCCCGCTCCCAAGCCACAGCTATTATATATCATCTGTCCAAAATTTCAATTCTTGTGGAGGTAACTTTACTTCTTTATTTTTAAATCCGTTTTCAATAAATTTTCTCCATACATTATCAAAATCACTTTGTTTCCACATACCTCTTTTAACTTTTAATATACATGTCAACTTATCATTTATTGCCAATTTCCATACTTCCTTGTACCACTCCTCTATTTGTATATTTATTTCTTTTTTCCAGTTCCTTGCTATAAGCAGTCTTGCTAGTGTTAATAAATTTGTTATCACATCTTTGTACTCTTTTTTCAATTGTTATTATATAATGATAATAAAGCTATACTAGGACTTCTTTCTATTTTAATATTAATTATATCTTCTACTTCTCTAAATACTTTCCCCCAAAACTTATTTACATATTTACATTGCCACCACATATGTATATATGTTCCTGATTCTTGACATCCTCTCCAGCAGTTTTTTTGAATAGTTTTTATTTGTATTTGCCATTCTTACTGGTGTTTGGTACCATTTCCATATTAACTTATACTAATTTTCTTTAACCCGTATTAATAAATTTTTAGATGTCTTTGTCTCCATAATTGTTGCCACTCTGTTTCATTTATTTTTATCCCTAAATCTTCTTCCCATACCTCCTTGAGGATGTTACTTTTTGTTTTTCCTTTCTTTATTTCAATTATTATCTTATATATTTTACTAGTTATTCCTTTCAAAATTTCATGCTCTTCTACAACCCTTCCATTTTGTATTATTGAGAGATATTGACAAGCTGGAATGTGTCCAGAGGAGAGCGACTAAAATGATAAAAGGTCTGGAGAACAAGCCCTATGAGGAGCGGCTAAAGGAGCTGGGCATGTTTAGCCTGAAGAAGAGAAGGCTGAGAGGGGATATGATAGCCATGTATAAATATGTGAGAGGAAGCCACAGAGAGGAGGGAGCAAGCTTGTTTTCTGCTTCCTTGGAGACTAGGACGCGGAACAATGGCTTCAAACTACAAGAGAGGAGATTCCATCTGAACACGAGGAAGAACTTCCTGACTGTGAGAGCCGTTCAGCAGTGGAACTCTCTGCCCCGGAGTGTAGTGGAGGCTCCTTCTTTGGAAGCTTTTAAACAGAGGCTGGATGGCCATCTGTCAGGGGTGATTTGAATGCAATATTCCTGCTTCTTGGCATGGGGTTGGACTGGATGGCCCATGAGGTCTCTTCCAACTCTTTGATTCTATGATTCTATGATTATTTGTTCACATTGGTTAAAGCTTACTTCCATTTTTATTATTTTTCCCAATTTTTAAACAATTGTTCTAATTGTATACAATGGAACAATGTCAATTTTATTTCTCTAAATTCTTCCATAATTTTTTTCCTTCTTCATTCCAACCTTTATCCAATCCCCTATTTTGTCTAAATTTTCCCTTAACTTTTTATCCATTACTTTTTAAAAATAATTTGGAAATTTCTTTTCCATTACAATTGGGGTTATTACTGAACCATCCGTTATTAACATTCTCCTATATTTGTTCCATACTTCTAATATATTCCCAATATTTTAATACTTGTGGGCATGAAACAAATTTTAAGTATATTGAACCATCAGAAGGCAAAGATGTCACTATCTTAGCCACCCACGTGGACCATTTTGGATTTTGTATTATTTTGGAATTTGGAAATTTGGATAAGACCTGTAGTTGTGGATCAAACACTGTGGGTAGATGGTACTGGCTTGGAAACTGGACTGTGGAATACATGATATGGAGTTTAAGGCAGGCTCCTTAATTTAGAAGTTAACATACATCTGCATCTGAAAACAGAGAATCTGTAGGTACATAGAAGCATTATGATCATGTTATGCAAACATGATCTTCTCCAGTGATCTGTTTGGCAGAAGTACCCATGTTTACTTGAGTATAATATGTCATTGAATGTAATGTACAATTGCCTTTCGAAGGCACGCATTATAAAAAATGGATTTGCTTTCTAATGTGATGTACCCAACAATGCAGGCATAGCACATCAAAGAAGCAGGCAACATGAATGAGGCCATTTGTAGCTTGCCAGCCTAATTCAATTCCCAACTGGTCTCATTCATGAGGCTTTCAAAACCAAGGGGGAGGTTCGTGAAAAGGCCTTACTGGTGCATTACTTAAACTGTTATGTTTATTTATCATGATCTGATCACCATACTCAATATATCCCATATGCATGGGGGTATTGGGGTAATGATACAAAAGGTTTGCTAGGGTAGACCCTCTTTCACTCAGACTCAGCCCCCCCGAAAGCCCCCCCCGACCCCCCCCCTGAAAAAATTCACCCCCCCCCCGAAATGAAATCCTGGCTACGGGCCTGGGGCTAAGACTAGGGGATGAGCAAGACACCCTGAGGATTGCCCAGGAGGCAGCAGTTGCAGCTAAGCAGAAAGGAATGACTGGGCCACCAGCTGGGTATTCCTCCTTTTTGAAGAGCTCTGGAGTCCTGGGGCTGCCACCACCACCCGCGACAGCCTCTTTGCACCCCACTGTCCAAGGCTCTGGGTTCCTCCACGCCTTTTCATGCAAGTGGGTTTATGTGTGAGATTCTAACACACCATTGAATCTAATGAGCACTTCAATTTTAGCAATGTAATTTAGCCCAAAAAAGCTGAGCATTAGACTTGAGTTAATATAGTAATATGCACCATCCATAAAGACTGTTAAAACATGGTACATGAACCGTACCATATTTTCTGGGGTTCTGCAGATTTTTCCATAGAGTTGGAAGAGAGCACATGGGCCATCTAGTCCAACCTCCTCCCATGCACGAAAAGCACAATCAAGATACCCCTGACAAATTGACATCTAGCCTCTGTTTACAAACCTCCAAGGAAGGAGCTTCCACCACACTCTGAGGCAGAGAATTCCACTGCTGAACAGCTCTTACAGTTAGGAAGTTCTTCCTAATGTTCAGGTGGAATCTCCTTTCCTGTAATTTGAACCCATTTCTCCAAGTAATAGTTTCAAGGGCACCAAAAAACCACCATGCTCCTTCTTTTATAAATAATAATTTTATAAATCCAGGGCAATATGAAACTCTGAAGGATACCTGGCTTTTCAGCTTGCATCAGTGGCCTGGCATCACAATGAGAGCACATATCTTTGCTGTCACTCATTATGAATACTAAATTTGTATTAGAAATTTTCTCTGCATGAAAAAGTCTGAAAAAAGAAAACAACAAAAAGATTTGATGCTGTGATAAAAGTAAGCAATTTTTATGGGTATTTTTGAGCATGATAATCACAATGCCAAAGACACACTACTACATGGGAGAGGTACAACTGACAGTGATCTTCTCTTAGAAGCTTCACATGCTCCTACTCAACAAAATCCAATTACCTGTTTTCAAGCACTATGCAATAAGACAATAAAACATATATACTATATCATACGAATGAGTTATCAACAGATTATAACACTAAATGACTGCATACCCAGATACATTCCTATCTAGTTCTTTCAATAAATGCTAATTTCCCTAATGTATACTCTTGTGTTTCTTTAATATGTAAAAAAACAATAAGAACAACATCTAAAAGACATTATACATGTTTTAGAACTGAAATAAAAAACCTACCTGGAGCAGTTTACACAGTCTAGGATACCATTGAATGATTTATCGTCATTTCCAAAGAAATACTGTGTTTGTACAGTTATGCAGCTCTGTTTTGATGGGCTGGCACTCAGGTCTTCATCTTCTACTTCAACTATGAAAAAAGAAAATTTTCAATTCTGCAAGAGATTATAAAGAGAAAATCAAGCCACATTCTCTTATGTTTGACTATTCACATACCTGCACCAAGAAGACGTGGAAATGTCAGGCCCAAAAAGAGCTGCTGCAAGATAGACCTGGAAGTAAAAAAAAAAAAGATCACAGAGAGACATAACAATTCTAGAAAATAGGCACAATCATCACTGTGGTCATGTCCTTTGATCTTCTATGAAGTAGTAATGCTTTTTGTTGTGCATATACCAAATGCAATTCTGTAGTAGACACTGTAACAAGAGAATAATGAGTAATGTACAAGATTAGTCTTGTAGCTAAATTAAGTAGATCTTAGGTCTCTGCGAGAACAATGTGAACCTCCACACAGGCTGTGTTGGCCATCACAGCCTGTGTGAACCTCCACACAGGCTGTGATGGGAGCAAGAAATTTCCTATAATTACATTTTGGAATTACGTTTTTTTGGAATTACATTTTCATCTATTTGTCACATGTCAAACTCAAGCCCTGCCATCTTATTTTATGTTACCCTCTAGATGCTGGACTACTTGATATCTAATTTGTATTCCTCCAAATTAGGTATCAAGTCTAGAGTTGATGGGAGTTGTGATACAGTAACATCTGGAAGGCTGCAGTTTGCTCTGTTTACTGGGGTTTGAATTTAGATACAATTTAGATAGAATGTCTGACTTTAAAATGTCCTTTAACCTTTCCCCAGTCTCAGAGCCACAAGTGCTGTTGGTTGCAATTTCCATTATTCCCAGGCCAGGCCACATAGCAGATAATCAAAAGTATTGGGAGTCATTGTTCAACAACATCTGGGGACTCAAATTGGATAAAAAGTAAAAGTAAAAGAGTAAAAACCACTCTACAAAAATAATTGGCCCTCTCTTTCTTCTATGTGGTCTCTGTGAAATATGCACCTGGTATTATTTCCCGCACCTGTTGCAGACTCTTGTAAAAAGCTTTTCAATTAAGAGGCTCCAACCCTGCCCACTCTTCCATAATATAATGTGATGGCAAGTGTTGGAGCCCCAGTTCCTTTTTTTTTTTTGTCGTAAAGCAGCTAGTTTGGATCTCTTACTCTCTACGTATGATGGACTTTCCTATCAACTGCGGGCTGTAGTTTGATTATTCTCTTTAGATCACCCTTCTGCAGAAGGCCAGTATGAACTTCACCCTTAACGGCTGCCAATATTGGGGGGCGGGGGAGCTGCTTATTTGGGATATCCATTCCCTTTGCCTCCTTTGCTGGCAGCGCGGGCAGGTTTCAGCCTTGGGCCCCTCCTTGACTCTTTCAGCCTCACCTCTTGCAGTTTTGGGTGCACAACCTGAAGCTTCCAAGCCAAAGAAGAGCAGCAAGTGTCCTCTATCCCATGCAGGTAGGGAGCAAGGGGGAAGGGCCCCAAAGAAGTGCCGCCGGAAGGCGAAGAACTGCCAACTTCCTGATGCTCAGCTTCTGCTGCAACCAGGTTTTATTTATTTATTATTTATTTACTTTGCTTGTATGCCACAGTTTCTCAGCCCGTAGGCGACTCAACGCGGTTCACAACATAGCAAAAACAGTCATAACAAAATAGCAATAAACAATTTAAAAACCATGAAAGCACAATATACAGTAATGGCACATCAATAACAGCACAACAGCGTCTCATAACTAGAGTCATGATCCAATTCGTCGCCTATAATTCCATTCCTATATTCATCATATTCATTGCACCGTTTATCTGAATGCCTGTTCAAACAGCCAGGTTTTTTAGCTTTTTTCGAAACACCATTAACGTCGGAGCTGATCTTATGTCCATGGGAAGGGCGTTCCACAGCCGAGGGGCCACCACAGAGAAGGCCCTGTCCCTCGTCCCCGCCAGCCGTGCTTGTGATGCAGGCGGGATCGAGAGCAGGGCCTCCCCAGAAGATCTTAGGTCCTGGTGGGCTGATAGGCTGAGATACGTTCGGATAGATAAGTTGGGCCAGAACCGTTTAGGGCTTTAAAGGCCAACGCCAGCACTTTGAATTGAGCCCAGTAGCATATCGGCAGCCAGTGGAGCTGGTGCAGCAGAGGAGTTGTGTGCTCCCTGCGCCCCGCTCCTGTTAGTATCATGGCTGCCGCGCGTTGGACTAGTTGGAGCTTTCGAGCCGTCTTCAAAGGCAACCCCACGTAGAGAGCATTGCAGTAGTCTAGGCGGAATGTAACCAGAGCGTGGACTACCGTGGCCAAGTCAGACTTCCCAAGGTACGGGCGCAGCTGGCGCACAAGCTTTAACTGTGCAAATGCTCCCCTGGTCCACCGCCGAGACCTGGGGTTCCAGGCTCAGCGATGAGTCCAGGGTCACTCCCAAGCTGCGAACCTGCGCCTTCAGGGGGAGTGCGGCCCCATCCAACACAGGCTGTGACCCTATGCCCTGTTCGGCCTTACGACTGACCAGTAGGTCCTCTGTCCACACCCCAACTGCGAACCTGCGTCTTCAGGGGGAGTGCGACCCCATCCAACACAGGCTGTAACCCTATGCCCTGTTCGGCCTTTCGACTGACCAGGAGTACCTCTGTCTTGTCTGGATTCAATTTCAATTTGTTCGCCCTCATCCAGACCGTCACAGCGGCCAAGCACCGGTTCAAGACCTGGACAGCCTCCTTAGTAGCAGGTGGGAAGAAGTGACAGAGTTGGACATCATCCGCGTACAGATGACATTGCACTCCGAAACTCCAGATGATCTCCCCCAGCGGCTTCATGTAGATGTTAAACAACATGGGGGACAATACTGAACCCACGAAACCCCACAAGACAATGGTTGTGGGGTTGAACTGGTGTCTCCCAGTAACACCTGTTCAATTTGTTAAAATTGTTCAGCAACAGCATGATGGGACTGAGAGTGCAAGTGGGCATGATGGGAATGGGAATACAGATGCAGGTGTGGGATTTCAGATTTCTCAGTTTTCTCAGCCACAGTCTGTAGCTAGAGAGAATCCCTTGTTCTCAAGGGAAAGGAATGTGGCTGATAACACACTCGGTGAAGGTCAGCGCGAGCCGCAGGTGTTGAGAAGTTTACGGATTGCGGCCAAATCTTGAGGCCATCTGCTGGTGGGAAAACTGCTCGTTAGCTGTTCTGTTTAATGTTCATGTTTTGATGTTTTCCTATAAGAAGACTGCTGGAAAGCTGATTCAGTGTCAGATCCAACTTTGCAAAATGAATTGCTGTACCTTTGGCCCTAGGACTTGGGCTTTGGGGTTCGTTTGCTTCCTGTAACTTCATGCTATTGCCTGGATTGTATCCTGCTTCCTTGCCTCAAGTTTCCCTGCCTTGATTCAACAGAACTTTGGACCTATACTTTGTACCATTGAATTTTTACTGCTTTTACTTGGATTTGTTTTGAACTTTAATAAACTTCTTTCTTCTCAAGTTTGGCTGGTTTGTCAGAGAGCAAGGTGAAGCTTAACCTGAGACGCAACAGTTTGGATCTGACCCCCAACAAAGTCCTTGCTTCTCCCAGCCACCATGAATCCTGCAGATGCCCAGGCGATGCAACAGCAGCTGCAGGACCTTCAGCAGCAGATAACCACGATGCAAGCGCAAAGGGCACCTAACCCTCCGGCCCAGCCACTAAGGACTCCTATGGCATTGCCCAACAAGTTCTCTGGAGACAGTCAACGGGTCAAGGACTTCTTGGGACAGTGTGATGCCTACCTCACAGTGCGGGAAGCGGAGTTTCCGAATGAGGCAGCCAAGGTGGGCTTTGCCTACAGTCTGTTGGAGGGCCCGGCCCTCTCCTGGGCCACCGCACTGCGTGAGGCTGCTTCCCCTGTGTGCAACACTGTCAAGGCTTTCATGGATGAACTGCACAAAGTCTGGGGAGGCCAAGTGCACCGGGAGATGGCGGATCGTAAGCTGCGCGCCCTAGCGCAAAAGGAGGGGTGTTTGGCCCAATACATTTCGGAGTTTCGTGTATTGCAGCGGGAGCTGGCTTGGAACGATGCCGCCTACATGAGCGCTTTCAAAGCGGGGCTCACCCAGGAGATGCAGTTGGAGGTGGCCCGTTCCGCTGTCCCAGCCGACTTGGAAGAGTTAATGACCCTATGCATCCGGATAGATGGAACCATGGCCAATCAGCGTCACATCATTGCTGGGCCTCGGCCAGTGGGTCGGAAGAGGGCCGATGCGGGAGTGCCACATCGCTTGGGTCCGCCGCCACCTCCTGCGCCCGATGCAGAGGAACCCATGCAGCTGGGCTCCATGCGCCCCAAAATTGATGCGGCGGAAAAGGCGCGACGGCAACGGCTAAACCTGTGTTGGTATTGTGGGGGCAGCGGGCATATCTCTCGGGAGTGCCCTGTCAAGAAGAAGACAAGCCCCCGCTTGGCGGGGATCTCCGGCTCAGTGGAGCCCGTGGCGCCCCAGGTCCAGGTATCCGGTGAGCAACGGGCCAACCAGCCGGCGGGGGAAGCCAACGACCGAGTTTAGCTGGGCTCGCAAACTCGGTCTCCACCCCATTTCCGGAGCCCGCGACTGGGATGCTGTTTTTTCTCTTGGTTTCGTTTTGTGTGGCCAAAAAGACTCCCACGGCGGTGCACGCGCTGGTCGACTGTGGGGCCACTAACAATTTCATGGACAGTCGGTTTGTGGAGTTCCTTGGATTACAATGTTTAGACCTCCAGCCTCCCCGGGATGTACAAAACTTTGATGGGCGTTTGCTGAAAGCCGGGCCGGTGGCTCGCTATACAGCGCCCATGCTGATGGAAGTCGGGGACCATGCGGAAGAGGTCTCCTTTTTGGTCACGGACCTTCCACATGCCGTGGTGTTGGGAATTCCATGGCTGGCCAAGCA